CCTAATTATTGAAGAACAATTCATAAATGAGATTTTGTCCCTTTAAAAAATAATTGCCCCTTTGTTTTCAACACTTTTATTTCCACTCTCTAGTGGTGTCCACTCTTTTTTTTTAACCAAAATGTTTCTGGGATCATTTTCAAATGCTTACCCGTCTTTGAAGTGGTGTCCTTTGTCTTGTGGGCCTAGCTTTTTGGGACTTTCAATCCTTTGCTTAAATACAAGTGGGGGAGTAGGTCCTGCAACTTACAATGGTTATTTTATGCAGGTTATTGTGAATTTAGAATCCCTCAGTGCAAGTTCCTTTCTGAAGTGGGAGGTTCCTTTCTTAAACCAAGGATGAGAGTCCTGGCCTAATTATCCTTGGGCCACTTTCAGCCCCCTGTGGAGTACTATAGATTATTTCAAAGGAAGAAGTAGGTTTATCTGTCCCCGAGGGCACTTGGCTCAGCCTGACTCTCTATTCCTTCCCTGAATGGCTCCTCTCTAGTGAAACTGGAGGGTAAAGGCCGCCAAAAAATGCATCTATCTGCATTTCCCTCTGTGGAAGTAATGGAGCTTCTTTGCTAGCTCATTTCCATACTGAGATGATGCTCAGGAACCACCCTGGTGGGGCGATAAGAGCAGCCTAGGAGTGTATTTATAGAACTATGGGCTAATATTTAGAGAAGTAATACAGYCAACATTTATTAGGCACCTGCTGTAAGCCAGACACCCTCTCCCCTACCCCCCACTGCACTGAGCCTGGAAGCCTCCTTCTAGCCAGCTGCTTCCACAACTGAGACTCAGCCCTACTCAGCCTTGGCCCCAGGCACGCTGGCCCCTCCCAAGGTTCTCCTGGTTTCCACTGCGATCCATGGGCCTCAGTTTCTTGCTTTGGAGACAGGTTGTTGGAGGGCTGCAGACTTCCTCCACCTGGGCTTTATGAGGCCACATGGAGCACCACCTTCCTGCTAGGAAGACCCTCTCCCCCTCTCGTCTCACCACCACAGCTGCTGCCCCTGTCCCCTGCCAGCCCTGGTGTCCCTGATGGCTGGAGGACACCGAAGCTGTACAGAAAGCCCCCAGAGGTCCTTGAGCTCGCGCTGAGATGCCAGCTCGAGAGCAGGCAGTGCCCAGCAGGACAGGGCCTTGCAGAAAGCACAGAGGGTGCACAGGGCTCAGGTGCCTCCTGTCCGGGTGGGAGAGGCCTGCTGTGAGTGGTTATCACTTATTCATGACTAGCACCCAAAATAGCTTGTTACAACTACCTGACAACTCCCACCTGGTGCTGGGTGCTGTTTTTCCAGATTCTAAAATTATTACCCTGTCTCCATAGACTGTGTTCAGCTGAAAGAGAGGCCTGCTTTTGATAGCCTGAGAACACGCCAGTTCCCCACTCTGAGGGATCACAGTGAGCCCGTGCTCTGGTCAGTGCTGTCATGATGCCTCTTTTTTTTTTTAGTAGTAGTAGATGGACATAACTTTATTTATTTATTTTTATGTGGTGCTGAGGCTCGAACCCAGTGCCTCCCGTATTCTAGGCAAACATGATACCTCTGAGCCAGAGCCCAGCCCTGTCAGTGCTTCTTGTTACTGCAGCATGATTCGGGTTCAGCCCTCCTCTCAACACCGACCTGGAGCAGGATGAGGTCCTTGGACTTGCGCATGTCGTGCATGAGTTCAGATGTGAAGCAGGAACCTAGCTGACTGGTGAGAGGGTAGGGGGGTCTGCCCGGGGCGGTCCTGGCAGAGGAAACAGGCTGTGCAGAAGCCCTGTGTTGGAGGGTATGGCAGGTGCCAGGACACAGGACACAGTGCTGGTGGGGCTGAGTGGGGCAGGCGACCAGGTGAGCCTCTGGACCTGTGGGCCTCTGTCCCAGGAGCATGGAGGGATGAAGTGTGAGCAGAGTTGTGCTTGGGACGAAAGCATGGGTGAGGGGGTGCACACGGGGAGGTGCTGAGGAAAGGGTGTAGCTTGAAGAGGGGAGCAGATGGGACTGGCCTGGCTGAGCCAAGAGCCGCCCCTGTTCCTGACAGGACAGCCTTGTCGCTGACTCAGCCTGGCCTTGGAGAGGATGAGGGTGAGCGTGCCCCTGGCCCTGGACAGAGCGAGTGCTGGGGGACACCCCACCCTTTCTTCCTAAGCCAGCCTGCTGCTGTGGGGAGGCACCAACTGGGCCCTGAACGCCCACCTTCACCCGCTGCCTGGGAAGCCGACAGGAGGGGCAGGACCCCGTGTCTCTAGAGATGGTCAGCAGGTCCTTTTGGATTTTGTGATTCCTGACCTGGGTGCAGAGGGACCGGCTTCTCAGGGGGTGTGCAGTGCTGCAGGTGGCCCTACGGCGGGGCGGCTGCACAGCTCCGGTGCACGCGGGGTAGGGGGTGTCCACGGGGCCTTCTCTTCTCCCTTGGAGGAGGACTGTGAAATGCATGACCTCAGTGTGGAGCAGCACTTCTTGTCCTCATAGGAGAGATGGTCCATTATGAAAATCATTAGGTCATCATTTATACATGAGTGTCCTGAAGAGAGGAAGGAACATTGCCTGGATCGGGGAGAATTAACTCGCTGTGGATGGGCCATCTGTCCCCATGCTGACAGAGAGCAGTCAGTGACGCAGGCCCTGCATCTCTGAGGCCTTCCATTAAGGGCACGTTGTCACTAGGAATGATGGCAGAAGTCTCCCCAGAGACAGTCAGCCAGGGCTTCAGAGCCATCTCCACAAAATGTGGCCTGGAACCTTCTCAAGACTTAATTTTCTGGACATGGAGAATGAACTGTAGGTGAGGAGAAGGTTCGGACCCATGAATTTACCTCAGAGAAAGCCRCAGATGAGGCTCTTCCAGCCATGGTCGGGTAGCCCGGTCCTGAGGGCCTCTTCCCTGGCTGCCGCTGGAGTCCTGGGGGGAGACGGCAGAGCTGGGTGTCGCACCCCGTGGGGCCGGTTACCTGCTGCAGAGACAGGACCTCATGAGCAGAGGAGGCCRGTGTCCAGGACACACTGCCTCTGGGGAGCAAAGGACTGTGAACTGTTGTGGCCCCAACGGCACAGAGAGACCAAGCTGGGCGCTCGAGGTAGAAACTGCTACRTGTGCTCTTCTGACCCAAGACGCGCTCTGTGACCTTGTCGCTGCAGCCACAGGAGGCCACCTTCGTCTGCGGTGGGCACCCTGAATCTATCTGGGCCTTCATCCACCACGCCGACCCTCTGGGGCTCCGTGGTGAATGCTCCACCATGTCTCAACCCCCAACGTCTCAGGTACTGAGGGGGCATGGCAATGAGGTAATGAGGCCACCTGCTAAGCAGGCAGCATGAGGGTCTTGGGACCTGTGGGGTTCCACTCGGAAATTAGCGCCTGGGCAGGCGGCCCTGCACTCCGGGAGCTTATTGCCACGGCACAGAAGCCTTGCTGCACTGCCAAGAGACTGCCCCAGCTCTGCCCAGCAGCGTCCTGTGTGCTTCAAACACCGCCATCATGAGCCACCAGGCAGCTCCGTGGGGTCAAGGCCTGAAACTCAACTGGAAGTTGCCTCGCAGGCTCCCTGAGGTCGGAGTCTGGTTCCTCTCCACTCCTCTGAACTGCGCTGACGTGAGCCTCCTCACACCTGCCTCTTCTACACAACAGTGGAGACTTCTCTTTGGAAAATCCTAGAAGCACAGCAGGTGACATGCCCTCAGAGCTCGACTGGCCTCTCCYATTTGTCTCTGCTGTCCCTCGTCATCTTTCCCTAACTCTGATGTCCTCCTGTTTGTGTTTATCGTGGTTCTTTTGAGGGTGTGTCGTTTCCACTCCTCCAGCTCTGGTGACCGTGTGAATTGTGTGCTCCGTGTTTTCCAGCTTGCCCCCGGGGAGGGGCACATGGCCCCTGTGCCGAGTGGCCTGTGTGAATGGAGTGCATACCTGAGGTTCCAGTGATGAACCCCTCTTGGCTCCAGAGCCAGAACGGGAATATATTGCTGGCCTTACAATTAACAAAGARCAGTCGGTGTCATCCAAAGTGGTGATAGCCTGGGTGTGCTGTCATCTCCTAAACCAAATGCTGAGCTGTCATGACGGGATGGTGCCCCTCACACCACCCCACAGATGTTACACCCTGGAAGCATTTGAGAAATGGCAGGTCCTGTAGGGAGGGTTCTCTGGCAGAGCAAACCAGGAAAGACGCCCTTGCAGACCTGCTTTGCAGAACCATCCGTGTCTGCAGGGCTCGCTCCCAGGCTCCCAGCCCACATTCTGTCCTTAGCACTCTCAGTGCTTTGCAAGGCGTCTTGAATTACTTTGCTAGGTTTTCCAGAAAGATTGACTTCACCGCATTTCTCAAGTTACAGTAAGGCAGAAAATCAGGCCCTGAGTGAGCCTGGGGTGGGGAGCGGGCAGGGACTGGGGACAGACCCCAGACTCCTGAAGCCACCATGTGGCCCACAAGATATTCCCAGGAAGGGCCGGGCTGCTCTCAGCTTTGCCCACTGCAGGGGTGTCCCTCAGAGTTCTGCCCACTGTTGCCCCGACACCTGGCCAGCTCCGGGTGCCACCTGAAGGAACCAGCAGCCCAGTCCCTGCAMCATGTGCTTTGGAAGGCCGAGTTGTTGCCTCCCTCTCAGGAGCTCTCCCAGCAGCACTTTGGGTCAGTCCCTGCCCACTGAGGCCAGGTGTGGAGAGCATGGAACTTGGAATCGGGACCCTGGATTTTAGTCTCTACTCGTCCCACACTGGCTGTGGGACCCAGGCTTGCTCATCCACTCCCCACAGCCTGTTTCCTTCCTAGGATTGTGAAGTGGCCTGGACCCCCAGGGTGACTCTGTTCACCAAGCCTAGTGTCACTGTGCACATGGCGAGGCCTGGCACAAGGCAGGTGTCCTGAGAGTGGAGCTCCAGCCCTGCACAGGGGTCACAAGACAGAACAGCCCTGAGGGCCAGAGGCCCCCCCCCCCCCCGCAGGCTCTGCCTTCCAGCCCCTCCTCCTGCCACTGCCCCAGGACCCTCATTATGGAGACAGTGACCAAGGTCTGTGTTTCCTGCAGGTCACCTGGATGTCAGCATGGCAGCCACAAACCTGGAGAACCAGTTGCAAAGTGCCCAGAAGAACCTCCTGTTCCTGCAGCGGGAGCACGCGGGCACGCTGAGGGGGCTGCACGCGGAGATCAGGCGGCTGCAGCAGCACTGCACGGGTACACCTGGGCACGCAGGCGGGACGCGCCCTGGGCCACAGAGCCCCACAGAGCAGCCTCAACATAGGGGCCCCGCTGCAGCCAGCCGCCCTTTGCTGTAGCGCTCAGCACCTGTCACAGAGCCCCCTGGAATGCTTCCCTCAGCACAAAGAGCAGGAAGCCTGAGGCCTGCCTTGGGATCCTGGGGACTGGCAGGACTGGCTGTGGCTCACACCGTAATCCGAACAGCCTGCGGGACACGTGGAGCGAGCTGCTCCCAATTTTGCACTGTTGGGGTGTGGCTGGGGCAGATGGGAAGGAGGCTTTTGGGGAAAGCAGTGTCCCTGAAGCCCAGCAGGCTCAGCACTACTGCTGTCACCCGTGGCTCCTAGAGCCCTGCTTGCTCCGCAGAGCTGAGGAAGGTGGGGAATGGCGAGGAAGCTGATGTATGAACTTTCCTTTTCAGATCTGACATATGAGTTGACACTGAAGAGTTCTGAGCCGACAGGTAAGGGCCTCCCTAAAAGCCGGTGGGTATCATTGCCTCTGCTGCACGTGGGTGCCTAGAGCAAAACACAGCTCTGTGAAGGGCTGCATGTGTCGCCAGRGCTCTCAGTTGTCTGTGGGGGGGGACAAGTGAATGGATTACCTTTTCATTGACACATCTATTTAGATCTATTATATGCTTTTCTGGATTTTCTGATTTTTCCACAGTGAATATACAATCTTCTATAATCAGGAAATAAACCTGAAGTGATTTCTCCAGAAAGAAAGGAGACCAGGAGGAACGTGGGGCAGAGCAGTCCCAGACCCTGTGCCAGGGCTGTCTTCATCCTGGCTGGGCTCAGCCCCTAGACCACCTTTCTCTGGACTACAGTCCCAGAAGTACTTCCCCAACCAGAACCCTTGGGGACACCCACGGTGTCAGCCCAGTGGCAGCAGGCAGAAGAGGCAGGAGCCAGGGTCCTCCCAGGGCCTCCTGCATAGCAAACAGCTGCTCCCAGCACAGGGCAGGACTGGGAAGGTGCAGACCCACTCCAAGGGACACTGCCTAACCAGGCTTCAGGGTGCAGTTGGCCTTGGTTGGAGTCAGATCCTCACCAATTTTTCCACTTTGATCCTTGTGTTCCTGTCTCCTGAGTGCTCCTCTCACCATTTTGAGTATGGTGAAGAGGCCTTGGGACAGGAGCCTGCCTTCCAGATGAAAGGTCCCAGGACCACCCCTGCAGCCTCCAGGCCAGAAGCTGGCCCAGAAATTCAGAACAGGATTTCTGCATGACTTACTTCAACCTGCCATAATGGAAGCCTCTGGAAAAGCGCCACCCATGTCCTGGAAGCTTGGATGTCCTTGCCCCTCCCGGCTCTGCCCAAACTAATCTGCAGCAACACAGGGCTGGTCTAGTGGTTCTCAAGCCTGCCCCAAGGGCACCCACCCACCCAAGGCCACATGCCTGGCAGTGCTGGCTCTCAGCCATGTGTGTGAGGTGCGGTGGGGAGGGCTTGCAGCAGCCTCCTGGTGCCTCTGGTAGGCATCTCCCTCCCCAGAGATGCAGCTCACTTCAGTGCATCCCAAACTTGCCTAGCCCTAGGCAGTTCAAGATGCAGGTCATAAATGAGCCTGCCCTGCAGGCAATTCCCAAGGTCTGGCAGGAGCTGCAGACCTGTGTGTTTAAGAGGTGCCTCTGTCACGAGTGTTCAGGAAGGCCTGGAAATGCTGCTTTGGGTGACAAAGCAATTACCACCGCAGGAAATGAAAGTTCTAGAAAGGGTGGTGTGGAGGGTCAGTCGCACCAGCTCCTCCCCTGGTAGCAACCAGGTGGCCCAGGAAACATCACCGAGTGCCAAGCCAGCCCCCAGAACAGCATAGCGTGGCTGGTCTCAAGAACGGTAAGGACAAAGTGCAGAACAGCCAGAGGTGGGTGGCCACAGAGCACACCTTACCAGGACCCTGGATTGGGGCAGGCTGTCACAGAGGGGTTGTGTGCCTTTGGCAAGGTCTCTAACATTTCTGGGCTTGTGTCTCCATCCATAGGCCCCAAAGTTAGGTTTCTGGCTGACTCCCAAGGGCCTGCCRTCCAGGGCTGCCCCTCAGCTGCCCTGTACGTACAGAGCCCAGGGCGGGCTGTGGTGTCGGACAGGCCTCTGCAGTGTGGCCTGGGGGAAGACAAATCCTGGGATGTTCATGTCCAGCTGGAGAGGTTACACCCGCCTGGGAGGGAGGCAAAGGCCAGCAGTCCATGTGGGGGCTGAGAKTGAGGGCCCCACGTGGGACACGGGTGGGCACTGAGTCTGAACGCTGTGGTCGAGGTCAGCATTTCAGTAGCAGGGGCTCAGCCCAGGCAGCCAGGCGCCCAGGTCTTACAGGAGGCTTTATGTGTCGGTCACTCTCTTTACCTCTAAAACTGCACTTCAGAATGCATTGTTTTTCTTGTCGGCCAAAAAAACCCAAAACACCTTATGGGAGGTAGTATTGCCTCCGCCCTGCCCGGGGGAGGCCATTTGTGACCATGCACAAGCACAGGCACACCTGTGTTCCGCAGCGGTGAGCTCACAGCACACAAGTGCTGGGCACAGAGCAGGTGTGGCTGCCTCACCTCACATGGTTCAGARCCCAACTGGCAGAACGTCCTGCAGAAGTGGTGGCTAGGCAGGGGGCGCCAGGACACAGACCTGCCCTGGGAAGCAGCCGAGGCTCCAGGGAGACATGCAGCCTGCCTCTGGCGCCAGGCAGGCCCTGGGGGCATATGAGAAGATGGGCCTGTGGGTCAGGAGTTAGATCGATGATGGCGGTCACGATAAAGACAGCCCAAGGAGGGGAGTCCTAAGGGAGCAGACGACACGGACAGGAGGAACTAGCAGGCCAGCCGGCAGTGTGCATTCTGCTAGGCAGGGAGGAGCAGGCTTTAATGGGGGGTAGAAGGGTGGGGAGCAAGCATCCCCGCACAGGGTGGGTTGGAGGAGATCAGAGAGGAGGCAGCACCCAGCCAGGAAGCAGCAGTGGCAGGGGGCAGAGAAGAGACATGTCCACTGGCCACCTGACAGAGGCTGTCGGTGAGCCAGGAGGGGAGGAAAAGCAAGGAGGCTGTCCATAGCCTGTGGACAGGTGAGGGAGAGCTGGGGATGTGCAGACCCAGCAGAGACAGGCTGTGCACGTGTCTGTCAGGCCTTCACAGAGGCCATGCTCTACCCAAGGTGAGTTTCTCAGCATCTAGAAAGAACCAGAGAGCTCTCACCTGCTTCCTAGGGGCCAGATGCATGGGAGTGGGGTGAGGACACTGTTGTGACACTGAGTCAGCATGTATGAAGCAAAGCTTGAGGGTGGAGGGCAGGTCCCTAGGGGCAGGCTGTAGCCGCAAGACAGTGCTAGGGTAGGGCTCCACAGGGSCGTCTAAGCCTGAGAGACCCCTGGCCAGGGAGATGCAACAGCCYGACTTCCCTTCTCTTCAGATCAGACCTTACTGAGTTAGACTGGACAGTGCTCTTGACATTTCAGTTTCAAAACAACACTTTGCAGCAGGCACTTGACAAGTGGCTCCTGAGTGACARGCAGGGGGACCTGGTAACAGCTGAATCCCTAGCCCCTGGTGAGGCCAGTGCTCTGAAGTGGCCCACTTTAACATCGGCGTTTTCAAGATCTGAGACAGGCTTCTTGCAGCGAGCCCAGTGACTAGGAGCCCCGAGGGCCCCAGGGAGCCCCCATCGGTGAGGGCAGGGCCTCCCGCCGCCCGGCCCTGGCGCTCGCCCGCCTCCGTCCAGCTCGCAGGGTTCTCACTCTGGCCCCCTGACTCCCTCGCAGGAGACGGCTCTTCCAGAAGCGCTGAGCTGAAGAGACGATGTGAGGACCTGGAGGCCCAGCTGAAGGCCAAGGAGGACGAGAACAGGCAGCTGCTGGAGGAGCTGGGGCAGAAGAGCGCCCTGATGGCAGTGCTGGAGAACACCCTCAAGGAGCGGGAGAAGAAGTACCTGGAGGAGCTGAAGGTGAAGAGCCACAAGCTGAGCCTGCTGTCGGCCGAGCTGGAGCAGCGTGCCAGCACCGTGGCATACCTGACCGCGCAGCTGCACGCTGCCAAGAAGAGGCTCCTGAGCTCCAGTGGCACCTCGGACGCCAGCCCAGCTGGAGGCACCCCGCTGGCCAGCTACAAGCCCGCGCCCCCCAAAGACAAGCTGCCTGAGACACCGCGCCGCCGCATGAAGAAGAGCCTCTCCACCCCGCTGCACCCCGAGTTCGAGGAGGTCTACAGATTGGGGGCCGAGAGCCGCAAACTCCTCCTGCGCGAGCCTGTGGACGCCATGCCCGACCCCACCCCATTCCTGCTGGCCCGGGAGGCGGCCGAGGTCCAGCTCATCAAGGAGCGGCCGCTGGTCATCCCACCCATTGCCTCGGACCGCGCAGCAGGCGGGCAGCACAGCCCAGCCCGCGAGAAGCCACACAAGGCCCACGTCGGGGTGGCCCATCGCATCCACCATGCCAGCCCCCCACAGCCCCAGCCCGAGGTGGAGACGCTGGCCGTGGACCAGGTGAACGGAGGCAAGGCAGTGCGGAAGCACTCAGGGACGGACAGAACTGTGTGACTGTGGCCCGCACTGTCCACGCACCATGAGCACCACAGGGAACCCCACCRCACCTTTTTCTTTACCTCCCACGCATGCCAAATTATTTTCAGACCTGTCCACCAACTCTCCTGCTCCTCCTGCCCCACGCTGCAGACGCCACAATACGACCGTGTCCCTGCTGCAGAATGCATAATCTACTAATGCTGTGGCCACCACCCACGTGCCCAGCCGCTTGCTTCCAAGCCCAATCCGTGTCGTCCAGGCGCACTCGTGGACAGGCACCGGCCACAGGATGCACACTGCGCCATGTCCTCGGAGCAGACGGGCACGCGCCTGAGTGTACAGCCAGCCACGCACAGCAACCTCGACCACCCTCCAGGGCAGCCTGTGGAGCAGCTGCTCCCTCTAGAGACCCCGCACCTCCCTCCTCCCCCGGGCGGCACTCATCACCGAGCAGCTGTATGTAGATGTCCAAAGGAACTAAATAAGATGACGTTGCTCTTCATGTCACCACAACCTGAATGTGTGTTCATATTTTTTGTTAGTCTTACCCAAAATGTTCCAGATCCCAACAAACTTTATTTTCTAAACCTGCCTTCCTTCTGTTCTGTGTCTTTTATTAAACCACCTGGGGGAGGGCCGGGAGGGAGCCCGGGTGGGAGAGAGAGCGCCCATGGTTAAGGACAGCCATCCTGCTGCCTGGTGCCAGTCCCTAGAGTTCTGGAGAAGCTACTTTTGTCTTTCGTCCAACTAGCTGTCAGCCACCCCTCCCCTGGTGAAAAAGCAAAGCTTCTCCAGCTGGGCCTGGAGCCAGCCTCTTGGGCCCAGAAGGAAGGGGCACCAATGGCTGCTGGTCCTGGAGGTGCTAAGTCTGCACCCAGCCGTGCACGGACCCAGTGGGTTGGGCAAGGAGCTCAACAGCCCCACAGACCCAGCAGGCAAGAGGGCGCTGGAGGGGGGAGATGGCCGCAGGTGACTGGCCATCACACACTGGGTGTCATGTGCATCAGCTCACGGGGGCACTGCCTGACCCTCAATAGCTTCAGCCCTCTGGGCTGACACCTCTGAGAGGAGCCCCTGCTTGGACAGAAGCCCCTGTGGGAGTCTGGCTCTTAGGGTGGACTTTCTCAATACAGAGAATCCTTTAAAAAGCAATTTGGGGCTGGGGCAGGGGCTCGGGGGTGGAGCATTTGCCTAGCCCATGAGGCCCTGGGCTCAATCCGTAGCACTGMATATAAATAAATAAAGGTCCATTGGCAACTAAAAACAAATATGTATATATTTTTTAAAAGCAATTTAAAAAATACAACCATTGAGTTAATTTAATGGAAAAAGATTCAAATACTGATTTTAAATGAAAGGAAAATCAGAGTCATCCTCCCTGCCCCCAAGGCCCCCCAAGGAACGACAGGACTGAGGGCTCTTCAGGGAGCAGCAGCACTCAAGACTAGAACTCACGCATTGCCCTGGTTTCCTTCACCCCAGGGTTAGTCGCTATTCAGGGTGAGGCAGACCCCCTGCAGCACCCAGTGAGAAATGTGCCTGGTGGTAAAGAGGTCGGCCTCGAAGACCAGGCCGACCCCCATGKCGTTCCTTCTCATGGAGGTGGTGTAGACGGGCGTCCGGAAGGTGTTCTGCAAGGGAAGGGCAGGTGAGCAGTCATGGTGGAGGAAGCTCAGGGCTGGAGAGAGGTTCAAAGCTGGGACCTGGCCCAGGCCACATGGGGCTCTTGCAGCCCAACCAGATGCAACTACTTCCTGCCTCAGTGTCTGCAGAATTTCACAGGAAGGGAGGAAGGTGTCCCCACACCTCAGGTCTGAACTGCAGCCTGACTCCTATGCCCCCGTGGCTGTTATCAGGTCCCCAAGGCTTCCCCAACCCCACAGAGGTTTCCAAAGGCCTGACTGTGGAAAGCACCTCATCTACTCCCAGGTCAGAAGGGAAGGTGCTGGAGAAGTAGGAAGGCTTCACCTGCAGCTTCAGGCGGTGCACCTCAATGGGGATGATCTTCAGGATGGGCAGGTCCACAACCAGCACCTTGGGTTTGCTCTTGATTAGACATCCCCTTTCTATGTCCCAGTCAGCACCTTCTAGGTATAGTCCCGAGACAAAGCACCCTGGAGACAGTAGGGACAGGCCCAGATAATCAAGGAGGCCTCCGCCACCCTGCCAGTGGCCACTCCAGTGGTCACACAGGTGGAACAGGCACACAACCTCTGCCCCGCCTCCTTGCACATGCCTGGAACACAGCCAGGCCTTTCTCCATCACCTCTGCCCTGCCTGCCTGCCTTTGTAAGAGGAACAGTGGGCCACAAAGGAGTGGGCACAGGGTGGGCACGCAGCCTCAGACCACCATGGGTGCTCAGGCTGCAGAGTTGAGTAGCACCTCGTCAGAGCTGGCAACCCAGCTCCTGGTGAGCCACAGCGGCCAGGGAGCCGCAGAGAAAGTGCTCTCTGGGGTGGCAGGCACATGAAAAAGACAATCCTTTGGCCCCAGAGAGTGGCAGCCAGATACGTGCCTTGCCTCTGAGCCCTGGCTGGGCTTCTGCCGCTGCCACCTAGGAGCTGCACCTTAAACCCCTCTCATGAAGCAGCAAGCGGGGTTCACTCCTTGCAGTTAAATGGCCTCTGGCCAAGGCCCCAGGGAAATGTGATCTCAGCTATTATTTTCATAGCAGTACTCAATGTCTTAGGGATCTGAAATCATGGTATAATATAATGGTTCCAACAGTTAGCCCATGCTGCCCTCTGGCTCCCCCATCCCTGGCCCCCTGGAGGTTTACAGGGAAGCCACCCAGTGACCTTTGCAAGAACTAATTCTGATCTAGGAGCTCATTTCCCACAGGCTAGCATCGCATCCAGGCCTCCCCTGACATTAGCTCCACGGCTCTCAGGGACACAGGTACTGGCCCTCCTGGGCGGCAGGAAAGGGCACACGGACACAGCGATTTTTAAACATGGCCAGCCTATCGTGCCCCRCACTGCAACTGCCCTTTGAATTCTGGGTGGCTCTTGGGGAGAAACCCCAAATAAGAGGCCAAGACTCCCTAGCAAGCCAACCGTACCTTGTCCTGCCCTCTCATTCACCTCTTCTGCATCTTGGAACTTGGTCACTTGTGTGAACAGGGTGGACCGGTCCAGCGGCCAGCCATTCTTCCGGCAGGTGGCCTGCACCAGGGCTGTGAGGTAGGACTCTGGGATTTGCAGCCCTGACAGCCACATCACAGGGGGCTCACCCTCATTGACCTGGAGAGAAACAGGCAAGTGGTAGGAGCCAGGGCTACTGTCAGACGCCAGTGTCAGAGCTGGTCATGGAGGGTCAGCACAAGATAAAAGATGTATTCCACCTTGGCAGCAAATTGGTGGTGCTGGCTTTGGTGGCCCACTGGGGAAAGGAGCTGGACCGTCACGTTCCAGGTGGGTTCAAACAGAGCCACAGAAGGACCCAATCAATTTCCAGTAAGGTTCTCATCATCTTCAGGTGGGGAGCCCCAAGCCCAGGCACCATTACAGGCCACTGAGGTTTGACCACATGAAAACCTAAAACTCTTCTGAGGAAAGGGTGCCACAGTCAAAGTCAAAAGGCTCTGGACGAGCTGGAGGAGCACGTACAACCTGGCGCCCAGAGGCCAACTCCTCTGATCCACAAGGAGCCCTTCAACACCATCGGAAAAGATGGAGTCCTCGGGAACAGCACAACTGAGAACCAAAACACAGCCCAAGAAAAATAAACGCAGACTGTGCAGAAACTYGTAAGATACATTCAGCCCACCACAGCTAGAGAAATGCAGAACAAGACAATCCACTGCAGTTTTCACCTGTCAGGGAGGCAGCGACCCAAAATATAGGTGGCTTCCCCTCCTCTAGAAAACCTCCTGACCACCAAAACCTGAAGGCACAGTCCTCAACCCTTCCCCCGCTGGAATGGACTCGTGAATACACTGGTGTGAGCATTCACAGACGTGCGCGCCAGCATGTTGCACAAACACACCACCAGAAACACACGGGAAGTGACCACCTTGACGCCCATCGGAAGGAGAGCGGATGCCAAATATCCGTGAGGCGTGATGCCTCAGTTCCCAAAAAGAGCCAGTGGGATTAGGGTGTGCTGGGCCAGAACGAGGCTCGAGGCTCACCCAAGACAGGGTGCCCAAGCGAGCAAGGGATGCTTCAGAGTCAAAGACGACGCAGGAAAAGAGCCCCACGTGCTTGTGGGACCCAAGGACATTCCTGTGGCAATATTAACTCCTGCAGAGGTTGCTTCTGGGGACAAGGGTGGGGAGGCGGCTGAGGGAGGCAGGGTGGCTCCCACTTACCCACAGCGTGTACTGGCTGAACCGCCGCAGGAAATAGATCATCCAGTTCCCCAAGGACTTCAAGGTGTCCGGGGCCAGCTTCCTCCAGATATTAGGGATATGCCCAATAAAAAGAGACCTGGCGACATCATCTAGCTCATTGCTCATTCCGACCTCTCCAGCCAGGGCCTGTTGTGGAATCGAGAGCAACAGGCAGACTGCAGCAGAGATGCAGGAGCTGCAGGCCAACATCTGGGCACACGGGGAGCAGAGCTCACCCTCTGAAGCTCCGCCAGAGACTTGCTCATCCTCGTCACGAGCTTGTTGAAGCGCCCCAGCTCCTGCAAGAGCACCACCGCAGTGGGCGTGATCCCTACACCCAGGTACTTCCGGATCTGGTCCAAGTCAAACACCTTGGGCATCTTGTTTTGGATGTCCTTGGCCACCTGGCTGATGTAATCGTCGCGGCTGATGCCACTGCTGGATTCCCCTAAAAACCAGGATACGTTTAGGAAAGCGAGCCATCTGGGTGGAGGAAGGCACGTCCCAAGTCCCCTAGTTCTTGGGAAGGCATCAGCCATGTGGGGAAGCTAAAAAAAMCAACCAGGAGCCCCGAGCAGACGCCCAGGCCCTGACCAAGTTTAGGAACCCCCAGAGCTCACTTACCCGTCTGTGGCTGCAGCTCCAGCAGGTGGGCCCACATGTCCCGAGCTGCCTGTGTGTAATACCCAATCTCRGCATTGGAATGAAGGCCAAACACCTCAGGTGTGTTGGCAAGCGGGAGCGCCTCGATGGCTTCTGGAACCCCAGAGAACGGAGGTGTACTGTCATCTGCCCTTGGTTCCCAAGGGCCCACAGCACCCAAGTTCCCAGACGAGCAAGACTAATTTCCACGACTGAGTGGGCCATGTGTTTTTAAGTAAAAATTCCAAACCAGCGGGCACAGAAGTTCTCTGTTACAGAAATGAGCTGTGAGCTTCCCAGGGTCGCTCTGTCCTTCTGGGTGGAATCAGTGACTGCCTCTGCAGGCTAGGAAAGGCCCTCTGGGCTCCTAACAGGCTGAACAGACCCCACCTGACTAGCCAGGATGCCTCACCCCTGTAATGGTCGGAAAAGCCACCAAGACGACCTTAGCAAAGACAACTGTTGGAATTTAGGGTCTCCCCAAAAAGCTTTAAAAATAGCTTTCATATCTGAGAAATCTCACCAACAAATTTATCCTTCACATCACCAACAGGGATTTTGTAGTCCACCTCCTTGTTCTGGAAGAAGTGGAAGGGCTGGAAAGTGTCAAAAATGAAGTCTCCCAGGTACT